CACCCCAAGCTCTCCAGCCTGGCCACTGCAGAGTTTGCTAATCCGGGAGAGTCATTATTTGGCCCTGCCCTGAACGAGCAGATAACGAAGCAGGCGGAAACAGACCAGGCTTGGGCTGACGTACTGCGTAAGCTGCCGCCAAGTCATGGTCATGTGGCTGGGAAAGACAGACGGTCGTCACGCTTCGGACAAGATCAGGGGGACGGCAACGCCAAACGCCGCAAGCCTTCAGAGGCTTCCCGTGAGCCGTTTTTTCGAGGGAGCGGAGCCCGCAGGGACGGGTGGACCTCCGCAAGCCATGCCCCTCACCGTCCACATTACCCCAAGAAGCCGCAGTGGCAGCCCCGGTCGCAACAACAGCCCGGCAACAAGCACGGCCCTCCGAAGCCAAACAATGCCTGAAACGTTTCCTGCCAGAGGTGTGCTGGCAGGCGCTCCCACCAGACCTGCAATGTCAATGCACCCAGCTACCCGAGTGGGGCTTGGACTGGAGGGGGAGCGACTGGGAGGTCCAGGGACATCTGAGCGGCCGAATTGGTGGTCAGACCAGACGCTGCCGTCAGCTGACCGGAGACCCAGAAGTCACGCAATATGTGCAAGGGTTTTGCCTGGAGTTCAGTCGGGAACCAGTCCAGTGGCGGAAACCACTCCCCAGGCAGATGTCCTCAGAGTTGACCGCAGTGGTGACGAAGGAAGTACAGGCACTGCAAGAGAAGGGTGCCCTGGAAGATGTGCCCCCTGGTACACCTGGCTTTCTCAGTCCACTGTTTGTCGTACCGAAAAAGAATGGCAAGATGCGCCCAGTGGCCGACCTGCGGGAATTGAACCAGTTTGTGCAATACCACCATTTCAAAATGGAAGGTATCGCCACGCTGCGGGAGCTATTGATAAAGAACGATTTTATGGTGAAAGTGGACTTAACCGATGCATACCTGTCCATGCCAGTGCATCCAACCCTCCGTCGCTTCCTGACGGTGCAGTGGCAGAGTCGGCAGTACCGATCTGCGGCTGTCCCGTTTGGCCTGGCATCTGCTCCACGGCAGTTCACCAAGCTCCTTCACCCGGTGATCACCTGCCTCCGCCAACAGGGCGTACGTCTGGTCGTGTACCTGGACGATATTCTGATCATGGCCGGATCATATCAGGAGGCGTTGCAGCATGTGGCCAATCTCATTCATCTGTTGCTGGCCCTGGGCTTCCAGGTGAACTTCAGCAAGTCAGAGCTGCAGCCGGTACAAGTGGTAGAGTTTCTGGGCTTCCAGGTCAGTTCAATAGCCATGACATTAGAACTCCCCACGGACAAGGTCCATCGGACGTTGACAACTTGCCGGAGCTTAATTGCCCAGCGACAGAGTACGGTTCGACGACTTGCCAGCATCCTGGGACTGCTGTCCTCAGCAGCACCCGCGATTCTTCCCACCAACCTGCATTTGAGCGGCCTGGAATCAGTGCGGGCATCAGAACTACGCCGGCAAGTACCATGGGAGGAGACCGTCCAGCTATGCGCAGCAGCACTGGAGGATCTGTCTTGGTGGCTTCAGCACCTGGAGGAGGTCAACGGCCGCTCTATTCCTCTGCCCGTTCCAGACCTGGTCATGCAGACGGATGCAGCATCCACAGTCGGCTGGGGAGCAGTCTGTGGTCATCGCCACGCATCAGGCCTTTGGACGGTGGCGGAGAAGCACATTCATATCAACTGCCTGGAACAACGTGCAGCCTTTTTCGGTCTACAATCGCTCGCGAAGGACCTTCGGTCTGCTCATGTGATCATCGAAATCGACAACCAGGCGGCTGTATGGTGCATCAACAAAATGCGATCAAATACCAGCCCGGAGCTGAACAGCGAAGCCCAACAACTGTGGCAATGGTGCCTGGAGAAAGACATCACCATCAGAGCCGAGTACCGGCCAGGCGAATTGAATGTGGAAGCCGACTTTTGGTCACGGCAAACCGGAGCAGCACAGTGGATACTCCACCAGGAAGTCTTTCAGAGACTAGCCAACCAACTTGCTTTTCCTCTGGAAGTGGATCTGTTTGCCTCACGCACGGCTGCCCAGCTACCCCGATTTGTGAGCTGGAAGCCAGACCCGCACTCGTGGAGGACCGACGCTCTCAGCTTCACATGGTCAGACCTGAATGCGTACCTGTTTCCTCCGTGTCGTCTCCTGACGAGGTGCCTGAGGAGGATTCAGAGGGAGGAGGTAGCTCAGTGTGTGTTAGTTGCCCCGATGTGGAGAGGAGCCCCATGGTTTCCCCTCTTACTGAGCCTCTGTGTCGACCAACCAATAATGCTGCCTCATCACCCTCGTCTACTCATGAACGAGCAGGGCGACGTTCACCCTCTCGTGGAAGCGATACAGCTGCGCCTAGTCGCTTGGCCGCTGTCGGGCGTATATGGCAGCATCAACAACTTTCAGCAGACGTGTCGTCGCTCCTCAGTTCTTCTTGGCGTGGAGGAACGAGGAAACATTACGACTCAGCTTGGTCACTGTGGTGTCAGTGGTGCCGTCAACGGGAGATTAATCCCGTTTCGCCATCTTCCGGCATAGCAACTGTCCTGCAGTACCTTACGGACCAAGTGTCGGCAGGGAAGTCCTACCGGACCATTGGAGTGTACCGCTCTGCACTGTCCAGTACCCTGCAGCCGATGGACGGCCACGCGATCGGCCAACACCCGTTCGTCTCCCGGTTGATGCGTGGCATTTATCAACAACGTCCACCTGCGCCTCGCTATTCGGCTACCTGGGACCCGGCAATCCCGCTAGGCACTCTCCAATCTTGGCCTCCGGTGAAGGATCTGTCCCTGGAGCAGCACACCCTAAAGTTGTGCTTTCTACTGGCTATAACAGGTGCTTTCAGGGCATCTGAGCTCCGGCATCTGTCAGCCGACTCCATTGGTTTGTCGCCGGAAGGTGTCTCACTGCAATTGTTGGCATTAACTAAGACAGCGCTCTGGCAGCTTGAAGAGAGTCTTCGTAGCCAGATATCAGGTAGAAGCAGTTTGCCCTGTAGTCCTCTTGGAAGCATACCTGGAACGCACAAAGGCTTTGAGACCCTCAGAGACTCAGCAGCTCTTCATCTCGGCCCGCAAGCCACACCGTGCGGTATCAGCTGCAACAATTTCTCGTTGGCTTGTGTCCGTGTTGTCCAGCGCTGGCGTTGACACGTCGGTGTTCAAAGGACATTCAACCCGAGCCGCTGCATCGTCGACGGCTGCAGGCGCTGGCCTGTCAGCTGATGAGGTCATGCGCGCCGTTGGCTGGAAACAAGAGTCTACGTTCCGGCGCTTCTATCTCAGAGACCCCAGGCCTGCTGCGTCAGTCCGCATTCAGCAGGAGTTCGCAACTGGAGTATTGGCTGCTGCTGTGCCAGCATCTACACTGCCCTGAAACAATGCTGACAGTGTGCTTATTCGTGTACGTCATGATGGTATGACTGTGTGCAAAACATACCTTCTGGACTAATCCGTTAGTTTACTTGCGTAGTGTACGCATTACAAGTCATTTCGGGACGGCCAGTGTTAGCATCCCGCCATACTAGGTTATGAATATTTTTCCAGATTCTGGTTTTCATGTGGCCACACATTTAGTTGGTGTTAGGCCTTGTGTTCTATTCCAGCCTGGGTGTGCTGGTTTGCTGCGTTCAAATTATAACCACTGACGCTCGTAGTCGCCAATTGTGCATTAATAATTGTTGCCACGGAGGCCGGTTGACGTGCGCTGTGAAGTATACACTGTTATATCGAAGCTCGAAGCTCCGATATGCAATTGCCCATTTCACAAGCAATGATGCATTGTGATGTGAAGTGGGGATTGTATGAGGAGCGGAGAGCGGAGATATAACAGTCCCACCCGGGTACCCTCCCTAATAAGATCTATAATGCGCTGAAAAAAGGGTGAAGAAGAAGCTAGAGTTCCCGCGTTTGAGCTGATGGATCACGTGTGGAGCAGTTTTCCTTACGAAAATTAGTTTGTCAAATTTTAGTAAAACTGCGTTTTGAAAATGCTATCTCGAGCAAAGGAAAACCCGATTTCGGGTTGGTATACACTGTTATATCTCCGCTCTCCGCTCCTCATACAATCCCCACTTCACATCACAATGCATCATTGCTTGTGAAATGGGCAATTGCACGGGTCACACAATGCAGGATGTACTGTTGTTTTCACGATATCTACAACTTTGTGACAGAGGCACCAAAAGGTTAGGGTGCCAGTTTCCAATGAACGGACTGTAGACCTTTCTTACCATTACTCTTCAAGTCGAATACAATCGTGATTAACAAGGTAGCAAGCAAGTCCTTATAACCGGCACTTTGGCGGTCAGAGTATTGACAAAAATAGCACTTGGAAAATAGCTACCTTGCTACCTTGTTAGTCCCCATTGTATTCGACTTGAAGAGTAATGGCACGAAAGGCCTAGTCGAAATTATAATTATGGCTTCTGTGCTTCGTGTGCTGGTATACATTACTTAGTACTACATGTACATGTAACCGAATCAACTGCTTGTGTCATGCAGATCGGAGACAGCAAGATGATCCATAAGAAGAAAACGGAAACTAAATTGTATACCAACCATATCCACAACCCGATGATAGCATTGACGGATAATCCTCACTGAGAAAAAGGTTGTGATGGTGAGCCAATATAAATATGATGACGAAAAGATAACAACGAAATGTGACGATTTATGACAAACTGTCCCCCAACTGTCACGTAGCTAGACTGTATAAGAATTGGTTTCGTTGGTGGACAGTTTGTCATAACTCGTTACATTTTGTTCTTTTCCTTTTTTCATCATGAGAAAAGGTGATGACAGTTATGCGAAATGCACACCTAACTAGCGAGGATGTTGCGACCTCGGCTGTAATTGGTAAAGAAAGTGTCTGCTTCGAACGTCGGCTGCAGTCATGAGTCAGTCAAGTGCAAGATCCGACGCTCGGAGCAGAAACTTTCTGTGCACCATATGTTGGAAAAACGCCTGAGCTATCAGTATCTCTTACCATTGTCTGACCGAAGTTCCTTTCCTTGGACACGCTGCTGAGCTTCGAACACGTCTTCAATGACAATATGGAGCACAAACAGTTCAAGCAAAATAAACAGAGATAGCTAAGAATAGCCAAATTGTATAGGCACATCTATGAAGCACAGGCACAAATTCTAGGAATGGCAAGTCCTGCGCAGTGGTACCGTACGCAACCTTCGCGCTGCAGCACCACAAAATACAATTCCAGGTAGCACCCAGGCCCACCCTTCCCAACAAAGCCAAGGGCGTGCTGCATGCATCGGTGTGTTATACGCATCCCGTAATTATTTGGATCTCGACCCCGGCATGAAATAGTTCATACACACTCCATAAAGCGGGATTCACAGAAGCTTTTTTGCGATGCGACACGCACGCAAACCCCAAATCGCAGCCATGTCGCACCCCACGCAACTGCCGCAACTGGGCCATCGCATACGCGCAGGCCATCGCAGAAGTTGAGCTTGGCTCAACTTTTGCGATGCGATGCGATGCGACAAGCGATTTGGTGTACGATTTTGACCTTTTCTACAGCAAAGTTGTACAAAGGTGCACAGAAAGTTGCCTATACATTTTTACAAGTTGTGTCAAACCGCGCGAATATCATGGTGACGTACCCAAATCAGCAAAACTTTGTCGCATCGCTGACTTCTTCTGTGAATGGTATTTCGCGAGTTCGCATCGCACGCATCCACAGTTCACCTGCTTCACATGCACACGCCCTGACCTGGCATGCTGCCTTGCGTGAAAGGAACATTTTTCGGAAAGCGAGCTTCTTCTCCAATATTCGAAATTTCCATCCAAAAATGCCGTCGTCCTTGACCTCGAAGCTGAATGTTGTTAGGATAGCGAAGATTTAGCCGACCTATCTGGCAAGCCGTGTGCCCTCTGGATATGCAGTGGTTCGCGATTGTCAACAATCTTCTTCTCCTTCGTTCGTACTTTCACTTTCCTGACCACGAATACAAGCGGTACCCATGCTCAGGTTAGTGTTTATTTGTCTGTCTATGCACATACATGTAATGCAATGTACTGTTCGTGTTGCAGGCACTGGCCGATCATGGAAATAGAGGAAGCAGCCAGCTTTCTTTGAATTCTCATCCTTTCAACAAAAATATGTACACACTTAATCTTTCCTTGGCTCCTCTTTCCCACCGCCACCATGCATGCACAATCGAGCTTGCTTTAATGCCCTGCAGTGCAGAATGCTCCCACCACCACAACTACCACCGCCGCCACAACTATCAGCAGCAGCACCGCCACCACCACCACCACCACCACCACCACCACCACCGCCATCATGACCACCACCACTGTGACCACCACCACCACACCACCACCACACCACCACCACCACCACCACCACATCACCACCACTACCATCACCGGACCACCACTATAGAAGCATTGTCCTGCACGGCACGTCTGCAAGAGAAAATAATAGTATGCCAGTCCTGTAAAGCCTAGTTCACATTCGACGGGGCGCGACGGGACGCGACGTAAGGATCGACGGGAAGCGATGGGACGGTCTGACGGCGTCCAATGTGAACACCAGGAACGGGAACGCAACCGTACTACCGTACAGATCGGGAAGCGATGGGCAGAGTTGGATCGACGGGGACGCAAGCGTACAAAACGGCTGCAATTCGAGTGTGAACAGGAGACTTCGTCGTGCGCCGACTGCTCCCGATTCGTACTTGGAAATTTTTAGCATCTCGAACACTGCGCTTCCCGCGATAACTCACAGAATGGCTAGCACGACTTGAGTTGAATTTTAGCAACATAAGATCTCATGTCACTTATTGTATTTAAGGATGGTTCAGAAGCGTGACAGACGAACTATTCTATCATTTCCTGGGGCTATTATTAGAATGCCACAACTTTCAGTGCTAATTTTTTGGTCTTCACGAAAAACTGGTATTGTGAACTTGATTCCGCTTCTTTCAAGGAGAAAATAATTGAAAAGAAGTCCCGAAAAACGAGAAATTAGGTCCAAAAGGCACCCCGTCACGGACCGTGCCTTATGACTCGCGCCGTTCGACGGTGAACGTCGCAACGACTGCTGCATGTCGTGTCGTATGAATCGTACAGGATTTTACAGCTCACCCCAGCGCTCCCGACAAGCCCTTACGTCCCGTACCGTCGGCGTTGCGTCGAATATGAACTAGGCTTAATGCCCTGCAGTGCAGTATGCTCCCGCCGCCACCACCACCACCATTTCCTGGGGCTATTATTTGAATGCCACAACTTTCAGGGCTAATTTTTTGATCTCCATGAAAACCTGGTATTGTGAACTTGATTCCACTTCTTTCAAGGAGAAATAATTGAAAAGAAGTCCCGAAAAAGGAGAAATTAGGTCCGAAAGTCACCCCGTCACTGACTGTGCAATAGGGAGGTTTAGTCCCACGTAATCCGTGGGTACTTTACGTGTGTGTACCACGGCAGCATCTGATGGTACTGTGGTATTCAGTAAAAAAAAAAAAAAAAAACGTGATACTCAGTGACCCACGTACAGACGTTTTCTGATTCACGACATACCGTGTATGGAGGCTCACCCACGTTCCGCCAGAACATGGGTGAAAATCAGAATGGAGCGCATTTTGCGAGCTGTGAGGGTGCTCAGCTGAAGAAATTTCCGAAGCACGAAATCAAAATATTCGATGAGCTTCTTAGGCCCGGGTAGCTTCGTCTTTGACCAAGTTTGGGCCTTTCGCTTCATGCTTTTGTTTGTTCTGTGTGACTAAACACAACATTGCAACGTGGATGCCCTTCATCCACTTTACGTGGATCACCCACGTACGCGTTTCCGTTACGTGGGAACTAAACCTCCCTAATATGACTTGCGCCGTTCGACGTCGCAACGACTGCTGCATGTCGCGTCGTACGAATCGTACAGGATTTTACAGCTCACCCCAGCCCTCCCGACAAGCCCTTACGTCCCGTACCATCGGCGTTGCGTCGAATGTGAACTAGGCTTTACTAGCACCTCCATGCTGCATGCGGACCTGGACACAGCACTGTTCTCTCTGCAGGAAAGGGGGTGGGGAGTGTATTTCATTGTCCCTGCCTGAAGTAATAATGACTACATGACATGATATCCAGCTAACTTTGCCAGTAACGAACGACCCTTGATGCATGAGAAAAATGTTGCTATTTGGGAGTTGTCGTCGTTCACGGGGTTGAAAATATACGGCTATATTGTTACTAGGTCGGAAGATAGTCTCACTATCCGTGGGTTGTTATACCCATGGTTGACTGCAGATACGTTCGGATTATTCTATGAGTATGTGAAGGGTATAAGTTAAATATTTTCCCGAGGACATAGCACAAGGAATTTATGGGGAATGCAGTACATGTATATAATGGTGCAATCCATTTCTCCCAGGGCACTTTCCCAAGACGCCTTCCAATATTCACTCTTGGCGCGACCTATGTGAACTGAGCGGGGTGTATCGTTGAATATACCCCTCTCAGAACGTCTACTGATTGGCTGTAATCGCCCAAATCATACCGTGCCATGGATCAATGCATGTCAGGGAGTTGTAGCACCCAAGGACACAACACGAGATCATGATACCCAAAATGATGTACTGTAAAAGCGGAAATTTTCAGTGGTATTTTATTATCGGTAACTTCAGTGCCGCCAATTTTTACCGAAAAAATGCACGGAAAATTTTCGGTACTACTTAGTAGTACTAGCATCCTTACCTGGAAAGCGGGTATTACCGAAAAATTCCCTCCACCGAACCGCCGATTTTGGAGAATTCCGATAATATTGCACCACCAAAAATGTGTGCTTTTACAGTACACAGATTGGATCCATGGAAATTCTACATGATCCGTGGTTTATGCAACTCGTGATCACGGACTTGACCCACTGGCCCCAAGCATGGGTCAGTCAAGCGATGCTATATGCAAGCATGTATGTATCGCACTTGCCCCTAAGGCAGTAAGGGCAACTGTCACTGGCAGCCCAGGGTTGAACCCACATTATTAATTTTCGAAATTTTCTAGGGTAACACGAAAAGCTTCACGCACTGGGTAGTCATTCTCTATTCATGTATACCACTCTGCCAATAGTGCATAGAGCTCTCTTTTGAGCTGCCCAGCTGGCCCTCGTTATGATTTAGGCTGAAAGTCTACCGTGCCGTCTCCCTTATGCTATGACTCCATAATGCATATGTACAGAAGAAAAAATCCTGGGCTCCGTTGATGAAATTCTGTTTTGTCAAGTGGGCATTTTTGATTATTGTGAATGGCGTGTAGTGCCATAGTACAGTTCCTTTTGCTACATAACGTTTGCACAAGTCACGTTTCAGCAATTGAACTAGGAAGATCTATGTCTCTAATCTTGTCATTTGGCCCGGCTGGTGCTGTGCATTAACAACCATTGTCAGGCACCCTCTAAAGACCAACAGCGATGAGTTCATGACCCAAGCATTGTTTGGGCCGTTATGTTAATTAAACGGGAGTGTAGCAAGCTTTGATCGGCGTACTTCCTTCCGTACGTAGTGAAATTCTGTCCGAGCTGAATAGATTCTATCTCCTGCTGTTTAGTACAATAGTTTCACACCTAATACTGTAGATTCTACGTCTCCAAGAAAAATCTCCATGGAGACTGGAAAGATAGCAGATCATAAATGACGCAGCAGCTCAGCTGATTCCCTAGCTCGTGTCTAGGTTCATGTACATTGGTCAACGTGTTGTGGTAGACTCCATGTGCAAAGCTGCATACTCTTGGGGTTATTGATTCTTGCTGATAATTCTTGCATAGATATGAACATCATAATAATTGAATGTTGGAAAGACCCAACAAGGTGTCCCTAATGACTTATATCAGATCTTCACAAAATGCACATACTGTAAGACATGTATATATAACGAGGAAGCAAATCTAACGTTTTAACGGATGACATTTCTTCGTTATAATAGATCCGTTGAGGCCGTAATGGTTCATATACGCTGTGTGTGTATATCTCAGAATACTGCAAGATTGTCAACATAAGTAATAATAATTATCTTCTCGTTAACCTATGAATT